CCGGCCGGGCGGGAGGGCCCCTCTCGGCCCCGCGCGGGGGCAGGCTGCCTAAGTAGAGCGCCAAGATTCTCGTCCAGTTGCGCAGTGCTTTTTGTCCTCGGGAAGAGAAACATCCAGAAGAGAGGCCTCCTGCAGGCCGCGAGCCGCTGCTCCCCAATCCCCGACCACTCCCCTGAGCAACATTCTGCTAATTCCTGCGTCCAGCCATTCATCATGCAATCGGGTGTCGTGTCCTCTGTCCACTGTTCTGGAAATGCCCTGGTAGGCAAAACCAGCAGAGTCCCAGCCTCCAAGGCGTTTACTATCCAGAGGGAGAGATGGGACTTAAAAGCCGGTATGTGGTACCACCACTCTGAAGAGCTCTTGCCAGTCTCTGATCAAGTGATAAAGGCGCGCGGGCACGATGACCCCGTCGTTCCATTCCTACCTATATACCCGGAGGAACTATCATAGTATCAGGGGACATGTACAATAATGCTTGTAGCAGAGTCGCTTGAAATGGCAAAAACCTGTAAACAATCTGAATGTCCACCCTGGGGAAAATTGATAAATGTGGTCAATATATATAACAGTAGAAATGATCTAGAGTTACATGAATCAACATGGATGATCTCAAAAATAAGGCTGAGGGGCAAATGCAAGTTACAGAAATACCTTCCTAATAACTTATATGTAAAGTGTAAAGCGAAGCAAAACCATACTGTATGTTGTTTAGCGATGTATGCATATGTGAGTATCAAGACACATGGAAAGAGAAACACTAAATTCAAGTAATGGTTGGGAGTAGGGAGGGAGCAGGCTGTTAGGGCCAACTTCACAGTGGGCTTCAGCTGGTAATGTTTTATTGATTAACTAGGGTGATAGGTATATGGGTGCTCCCTATATTATTTTTTATACTTCTTTGAGTGTCTGAATTACTTGATAATTTTTTAAAGTTACAATACAGGGTGATGAGTGCTATGTTCATAGAAGAACAAGATGCTAAGATAGCATTTGACAGAAGCATCTAAGCTAGTCTGGGAAGGCTCCCAGGAGGACTGATATTTAAACTGAGTCCTGAGGGATGTTAGCCAGGCGAAAGGAGGAAGAGTGTTCCTTTCAGTTAACAGTGAACGTGCAAAACGACTGTGCCACAGAGACACGGGAAGAGTGTTCCTAACAGAAGGGACAGCCTTTGCAAAGGCTCAGAGAAAGCAGAGCTCAGTGCAGGAACTGAAAGAAACCGGCGTGACTGAAGCAGAATTCTGTGAAGGGAGGGATGTGAGGGGAGGTGAGCAAGACCACAGGGTAGCGTTTCGGCTTCTTCCTAAGGACAGCAGCAAGCTGTTGATGAGCGTTAAGGTGGAGAATAACTTCCAGGAAAGTAATGGTCATGAACTCACAGAGGTCAGTCACGTGATTTTTCTCAGAGAAAACAAGCCTCTATGCTGCTATGTCAGGAGGAAGTTGTTACCCCCTTTTTCCCCTTTGCCCCTGCCCCACTGTTCAAAATCCCAGGAGTTGGGGACACTGGTGTCTAAGCAGTCTGGCAAGACCATTGCCAACTAGTTGTCTATTGTCCGACAGCCACTTCTGGTCCCCACAGAACCAGAAGGGGCCACGGGGGTGATTGGGTGGATGTGCCCTTCTCTGTTCCCTGTGAGAGGACAGCTCTTTCCACTTTGTCACAATCCTCCATGCCCTGGAGAGTCTGTAGTTCCTGTTTTAGGGCTGTGCATGGCTGTTCTCTCTACGTGGAACACCCTTCCCCCAGATACCTCAAGGCCCCCTCCTTCACTTCATTTGGCTCTGAGCTCCACTGTTACCTCCTTCAAGGAGGCCTTCCCCAGTACCCCTAGCTAAACTAAAACATTCTTCATGCCCATATCCTGCTGTATCTGCTTTGTTTTCTTCATCATACTCATCTCTACCTGACATTACAATGTGTATTTGTTCATCCTTCCCTTGCACTAGAGTGTAAGCTCCATGAAGGCAAAAAGTTTGTCCTGAGGGCAAGAACCTTCTCTGTTAGGCTATAATGCACTAAAAAACAGCCCCAAATCTCGTGGCTTATCCCAACAAAAGTTCATTTCTTGCTCACATTCATATACAATGCTTCGTCTCGACAAGAGCTTCTACCGTTACTGCAGCAGTGGGCAGATGATGGAGCAAATCCCAGGCTGGATCTTCAAGCTGCAGCCCAGAAGAGATGCCTGTGACTGATTCACAGTTCACTGGCCAAGGCACGTGCAGCAAAAAACATCGGACAAAATGCAACACCTATTCGACTCTCAACAACCTGGGACTAGAAGGGAACTTCCTCAATCTGATAAAGGGCATCTATGAAAAACTTACAGCTAACATGACAGTTGAAAGATTGAATGCTTTCGCCCTGGGATCAGGAACAAGACAGGATATCTGCCCTTACCACTTCTACTCAGCATTGTCCCGGGGGTCCTCATCAGTGCAATAAGGCACGAGAAAGATATAAAAAGCATACAAATTGGCTTTATTCAAACGGCATGACTGTATATGTGGAAAATCTTAAGGAATATACCAAAAAAAAAAAAAAAAGCTACTAGAACTTATTCATTCAGAATAAAAACTCAAAGTCAACATACAAAATCAGTTGAAATTAAAGGAGACCTAAATAGTTGGAGAGATCTACCATGGTCATAGATTAGGAGAATCATTACTAAGATACCAGTTCTCCCCAAATTGATCTATGTATTGACTCAGTGCAATCCAAATCAAAATTCTAGGAGGGTGTGTGTGTGTGTGTGTAGAAATTGACGATTCTAAAATTTATATGGAAATGCAAAATGATTTTGACAAAAGAACAAAGTTGCAGGTCTTGTACTACCTGATTTCAAGATTTACTATAAAGCTATAGTAATCATGATAGTATGTTGCTGGCATAAGGATAGCAATATAGATCAATAAAATAAGATAGAGAGCCTAGAAATAAACCCACACAACTGGTTTTCCACCAAGCTGCCAAAGCAATTTAATGGTGAAAATGATACTCTTTTCAACAAATGATGCTAGAACATTTGGGAATAAACCTTGACCCTTACCTCATATCATACACAAAACTGAACTAGAAATGGATTATAGACCTAAATATAAAAGCTAAAACTATAAAACTTCTGGAAGAAAATGTAGGAGAAAATCTTCATGACCTTGGGTTTGACAACAATTTCTTAAATAGCAAATAAACCATTAAAAAAACACTTAATAAAAGACACTGTTAAGAAAATGAAAAGGCAAGCCTCTGGCTATGAGGAAAGATTTGCCAAACATGTATCTGATAACAGACTTAATTCCAGAATATGGTGGCACAGTGGTTAAGTGCGCGCACTCTGCTTCGGCGGCCCAGGGTTTCACAGGTTGGGATCCTGGGCACGCACCGACACACTGCTTGTTAAGTCATGCTATGGCAGCGTCCCATATAAAGTAGAGGAAGATGGGCATGTATGTTAGCCCAGGGCCAATCTTCCTCAAGAAAAAAGGGGAGGATTGGCATCAGATGTTAGCTCAGGGCTAGACCTCCTCACACACACACACAAAATGTAATCAACTCTTACAATTCAATAATAAGCAAGTGACTTTAAAAATGGGCAACAGGAGGGCCGGCCCAGTGACGCAAGCGGTTAGGTGCGTGTGCTCCACTGAGGCGGCCCGGGGTTCGCCGGTTCGGATCCCAGGTGCGCACCAGGCACCACGTGTCAAGCTATGCTGGGGCGGTGTCCCATATAAAGTGGAGGAACATGGGCATGGATGTTAGCCCAGGGCCAGTCTTCCTCAGCAAAAAGAGAAGGATTGGCAGATGTTAGCTCAGGGCCGATCCTCCTCACACACACACAAAAAATGGGCAACAGGGGCCAGCCTGGTGGCGTAGCAGTTAAGTGCGTGCACTCCGCTGCAGCGGCCTGGGGTTCGGATCCCGGGTGCACACTGAGGCACTGCTTGTCAAGCCATGCTGTGGCGGCATCCCCTATAAAGTGGAGGAAGATAGGCATGGATGTTAGTCCCGGGCCAGTCTTCCTCAGCAAAAAGAGGAGGACTGGCAACAGATGTTAGCTCAGGGCTGATCTTTCTCAAAATAAATAAATAAATAAAAGTGGGCAACAGATTTGAGTTCTTCACCAAAGAAGATATGTGAATGGCCAATAAACATATGAAAAGGTGCTTAGC